TTGTGTGATTTTTCTCAAGGCAAACGAGTATGGAGAAAAAAATAATAATAAAATAACAACCGATACGGTCGTGTTTGCGGGTTAGGTTAGGTTTTTTTCCGTGCTCCCGCGGGGATATACCTATATACTATTATTTATACATGCATAAAACATATATGTATATATTATGTGTTTGTACGCGACTGAATTCAGAGACTCGGTCGAATATAAAAACATTTATTCGTTTTTTACATGAAATACGTGAAAATGGTATGCACGTAAAATACCGGTCGCCGCCGCTGCAATGGCGAGATCGACGTGCGCACACGACAGCGAGTGAGATTAAAGCGAGGGGGGCGTTGACGGTCATATTAGAGGTGAGCCGTCACGAGGAACGTATAATTATTAGCTTTCCCCGAAATACGTTCGATATGATAACATTATGATTATTATATGGGCCTGTCGATCGGTTTTTTCGTCAAACCGAATTTATTTTTAGTCTTCAAGTGTCTGCAAACCATTCCTAAGCGGCTACGCTGCACAGAAGGTATATAATGATATGGCCGTCGCGGGTCATATTGGTTATATTTATATGCATATTATGGCCTGATTGTCCGTATAGAATTTCCCTACTGGAGTGTCCGCGCGGGTTCAAATTATGGCTTTCGTCCATCACGGTAGAGATACCTTTCAAAGGTCCTCCTCGGCACCCTCTTCTACACACACCGGCGGCGCGATGTACATCAAAAATGCTCCCGCCGCCGCCGCCGCGCGCCCCGTAGTTTGTATGCCGCGTGTGACCTATACAATGTGTGCCAAAACCGGTTTCGGTCGTCGGAACATAAAAATAAATAATAATGCACTCTCGGCCGGGGGTGGTGGCGGTGGTTGTGGCGGCCGAGGTGGTGGCGGTGGTGCCGGCGGCGTCATAGTTGCTGCGCTCGGCGGTGTGACTGACCCCGTCGTCGTCGTCGTCGTCCGTCGACGCCACTGCCGCATTTGTATTATAGGACGTGATACACATCGTACCTAACATTATTATCATTCGTTATTTTATTCCTCATCCCACTTTGCTGCCGTCTGCCGGTTAAGTAACAACGTCGTGGTCGCTATTTGTATGATATTAATAATAAATAATACATATATATATATATAAGCATGACCGCTGCAGCCGTGGTTTTGAGAGAAAAACTCCGTTACGGTTTCGTTCACATCATCATCATCATCATCGTCATCACCGTCACCGTCAAATCGTATAATCGTCCTCGTCGCCGTCGTTGTTGTTACTTAAGACTCTTCCATGTGCACCTACCAATTCGTTTTCTTTTTTACTCGTCGTCGGTTTCACTTGTTCGCGACTTGCAGCTCGTCGAGAGCGTGCGCGCGCACGATTGATAAATGGTTTTTTCGACAAAACTAAAGTATTATAATTTGAATAACAAGTCCTCTGAGATGCTAATCGTCGCTCTTGCGTCTATAAATGGCCCACCTTAACTCGATATGATAAACAATAATAATATACGGTGTCCGACGCAGCACACCGGAAAGGTCGCCGCTGCACAATAATATTATATACCTATACAGTATACACAAGCGGATCCGCGGAAAATCTAAAGCCTATAAACAATTGGAACAATATAAATATCGAGCACACAATACGACCACCGCTTTTTTATAGGAAATCAACATCATCTGTTTTGCAGGTTCTGTGTGTTAAGGTGTCAATATGCATTCCGCGGCGATGGATGTCGAAACAAAAGTCGTTTTCTCCCAAGAATGCCTCATTTTGCGTACATCTACGTTATACTATTATTTATTTAAAAAGAATTAATGCCATACGGATTTTTATAACAAAATATTTACAGTTAAAACTGGTTTGACAGATCTTACGAATAAATTACGATTGAAAACAAAGTATAGGTATAGGTACCTACACGCTATACAATTAAAAATAATTTAACAGATGATACGAATACATATAAATTGTTATACGCATGAAAGTTGGCCAGTGTACGAAAAGTTACTAAAATTATCATTGGCTATCGACGTAGTCTTTATTAATGGATAATTATTTGAAAATATGTTTAACTCACCGGTAGATAAAACCATATAAAAAAGCTTAAGGCTTAATTTTACCAGGAACGCGAATGCTGAGTTGTTCTTACAAACGGGGTTCGTCAACAGTTCTCTAGTTTTTTTCCAAATAAAACGATGGCTGGTAGGAGACGTTACCATAAAGCTTTGTTGTAATCATGCGAGGTGGATGATCAATATTTAAGCTGTAAATTGTAAGACCCAGATATCTTGTCGCCGCATGTCACCTATATAGTTTACTAAAGCACCGCATTCTAATCTTTGTCTTCATTGACGCACTTTATAGTTTATAGAACTGAAAAACATTTGGGAAAATTCGATGAATGTTGCTGTTGCTTAATAAAACCTAGTATAGGTTTACGTATAGTTTTATTTAAAGGTAATGCTGTGATTTCCGAAGGATTGTTATTATACGAGTATGTAATATTGTACAAACGTTTGATAATTCAAAAGAGATAGCGAGGATACATTATACATTCTGACTATTTCGAAATATCGTGTCATTCGCGTGCAACAATATAAAATATAGTTATGTAGGTACACATGATACGCGCTCAGAATTACGAATTCACATTGACCTTGCGTCGCATACAAATAATGTAGTCTAGAGACTAGAGTATTGGCTTCTGTGTATAATATTATGAATTATAATGCGTATATTAGGTAGGTAGTATAATTTTATATTTTCTTCTTTTTATCATTATTATTATATATGTGATCGTGTTCGTTTGTCCCCCTCAATAAATCGTACGTATAATTTCAGTAGAAACTATAACCACGAACACTATGGCAGTGCAATATAATATTATGCTCTACTGATGTCTGTAAATATTACGTCAAATCGACCGCGGTAGACTCGAAACCGTAAAAGTGAAACAATTAGGCCAATGCGGATATCAATTAATTTGCACATTGCACGGTATCCAACTGTACGTAATTGTTGTAAATGAGATACTGCAACGGTTGTTGTACATACTTGTAATAATGTACCAATATATATACTGCACCGATAAACCGAATAGAAATATTAAGACCAGCCTATAAAGTATTATGTACCTACCTGCGACCTCCTACTTATTAATTACGATTTTACTATTATATATTAATTGTATCTATGTCGTTTATTTTGCGTTACACGCTGCACCTGTTGGAAAAATAATCGAATCCATGTTTTTTTCAGTTATATTTACGGTGTTTACGTATTGCACGCAACTCACTTTACCGGCTGTATTTACATAATTGCAATGCACATCTTATAAGAAAGGTTATAACCTTTGAACAGATCAAACAAAATGGTATACTCTTTTTTTAACAACCCATATGTAACAACCAACATCATATACTGTGTGTCCGTGTTATGAACTCAGCAGACGGTGGTTATAATAATATAGTTAAGCACTCTGAGTAATTATTAGTGTGGTAAACCATGTAGAACTATACATGTACGAAAAATCATTGTTAATATTATACGTACTTAAAATATAATTAAAAGCATGGAATTGTATTGTGTTATATACTTATATACCATAATAATGTAACGTACATAGAGCGGATTTCATTCGCGTTGGTTGATAATGTTTAAACGTTAAATATTATTTAATAGCAACTATAATACCGTGCCCCGAACAACATTCAGCGTACTGTTTATCGGTAAAAAACAATTTCATTGCTATATTGTGTACAACACAAATTACAATATTTCCCGGAAATACTTTTACGATCCGTACTGTGTAAAAGTCGAGATTATAAAAAATATACCGCACGGGGCAGAATTTTTTTATTATCACTTATCGGGTTCTTTATTATTCTGTGTTTTCGATGGCGAGCAGTGGCGTGTTTTGAATTTTTTTCGAGCGACGTGAGGTATTCCGCTCGAAATTTGCATTATAAAATATTATCATATCTATACTGCCATTGCAATTTGGTTTAAATTGTTCATAATATTTCAATATTAAAGCACATAAATAAATGTTTTGTTTTCATCAACTATTGAGCCACGTCGTAATCCACGCTGAGCACTGAAAATTGAAAATATATGATGATTTATAGACTAAAAGAGATTTTTTGTATTTGCGAGAAATCGAAACGAAACGAAAAAATGAATGGCTTATCTCGCTCTTCTTCGCCCGAAAGCGAATACGCACGCACGCTTAAGCAGACGTACTTTCATCATGTCGTCCACGTGGCTGCCGCAGACGACCAGGTATAAGGTAACAAGCATTTCACAACTTTACCGTAGGCGTGTGCGGCAGATTATTATTGTACATTAACCGTGTGTTGAGTAAGTATTTAAAATTATGAGATTTCGTAATCAGACTCGTGTGCGATTATTCATTAATGTTGATAATGCTCGTTACATAGAAACTAGTGCAGTTTTATTTGATGCGTCGTGTCGTGGGGCCATGGTTCACGTCATCGTCTCGTCGCCGCGGCCGTGACCAGCAGTCGACGAGAGTGAGTGGTCAGAAATCAGGATCTCTGATCACCGTTGAGTCGCAGGATCTCCTTGTACCGGTTTTTCCGACCGACACCTCTTACCGTATTTTTCCTTTCGCGCACTGCCGCACGCGCAAGCTCGGTTCACGTTGGGAATCGCTCGCGCACGTTTCCACGTCCGTCCGAACGAACGATCGGGCGGCGGCGGTCGCCACTGATTCCCCCCCGCCGCACTGTAACCTAACCCATCCGTCCGTCGACCGTTCACCCATTCGAGCGGAGAGCGCGCACGGGAAACGCCCGGCGCTCCCCTCCGTCCTACCGACACCGGCGTCGCGTCCCCGACCCCCGGACGACCGACTTGCACCGGAGCCCCCACTCAACCCCACCAACGCAGTGTGAAAGACGTCGGCGACCGACCGCTAACGACGAGCCCCGACCATGCGCGGCGGCCGGGCGGCGTGCGGTTCGCGTTACCCCGTCGCGGCGTCGCCGGAGCAGTACGCGCCGTCCGTTAAGTACTGTCTGTTGGTCTACGCGCGCGTGTGCCGTCGACGACTTGGACTACGATCTATTCGATCCGCAGTGACGCGAGTGAAAATCGCCAGTGCATGTTATATTATTATTGTTTTGTTTTAACGTCCGATTTTTCGCGTGCCGTTACAAGTGTTGTGTCAACTGTGCGTGTGTCGTGGTTTCGCGTTCGAGCCGCTTTCCGTGAACGGACGTGGTTAGTTTTGCCTACTACATATTAATATTACAAACATCGTATTATTAATATTGAATACATTATAATTTAATATAATATTTTCTCTCCCAATAGCACAGAACAATGTAACTTTTCGTTAACAGTTTTGTATACTAGTAATTTTCGCATCAGTCTCTGTAGATGGTTTGTAGGTGTTCGTGTTTTCCTTCGCTCGATAACCGGATACGCGTTTCCACAGGTCATAATACTGAGATCTGATCAGCCCGCGTCGTTGAGGTGTTGGTCGGTGTGTGGGTCTGTAGATTTGGGTCATTTTGGCTTTTTACATTAGTTACCCTAACACCGGCCACACGTTTATCATGTACCTATTATTATTAAATATTATTGGTTGTTAATAAATAACAACAACAAGAAACCCTGTCTGAAAATCATTAACCACCCTCCCTCCGTCGCGGTTACAGCGTTTTGAGACTTGAAACGCGTAAAGGATCGTACGAGGATTCATGGGACGCGGCACTCTGTGTTCGACATGCGGCAGGCATCTTTCGCGGGTGTTGTGTTCCACCACCGCCGTGACGAAACTTCCGCCCGCGAGCTCAGTGGTGGTGACACACATCTGCACGACAGGACGTGGAATTCGTGTCGTCATCATCGTCGCGTTTTCGTAAACATTCATAAACTGCCGTTACCGCGTCGTCGTTGTTTACACGTCACGGACAGCACCTCCAACACCCCCCTCCCCACCTTAGTCACCAGTTCCGTTTGAAGTGCGTGCCTGCCGATTCTGGTGCATGAGGTGCTCCCCCTCCTATGCATCTAAAACTTGATAGGGTTGGGTTAGGTTATTTTTCTATCCTAATATTATGTCGTTCGAAGACGTGATCTCGAAATCTATTTCAATGAAGCCCCCCCCCCCCCTAGAGAGTGTACAATCATATTATCCATGTGCGATGATAGTAAAAAAATAAGTCTCCGTTTCCAGACAAGTAGACACGAGTGCGGTGCCCCTTCGTCATTGGCTATCGTTTTAAGACGTTTGAATGCGAATTGTAATCATTGTTCGATCGACTATAAAAAAAAACGTAACCAATTCGTTTCAACTGGATTTATTAATGAGCTGTGTTGATTGTCGCTGAACGCGGGTTTTTGTTTTTTTTTCGGTACCAATTATTATAGTTTTATTTTAATTTAAAAAAAAAATACATTAAATGCTTGTTGTACTGCCTTCATTTCCAAAATAAACCCGTATCGATAAGCTTTGGTTTTATTTTAGTCCCCATAAACTATATTATAGTGCATTTTGTGTGTGTGTGTTATTTATAGCGGTAATTCAATTTAAACGAAATTATATGTGTATTTGAGATTCGCGTTATTTACTCGAATTACTCGTCGTTGGTAAAAATCTTAATTGGCTCGAATACACATGTTTTTTAAAATTAAAAACGCACATGCCAAATAATTAGTTCGCTTCTTGTCCATTGTTAACGACGACAATATTTTTTTTCGCTTTCCAGGAACGGCTCTGTTATTATAATTTCTGCGGACCAAACTAAATATGTCTATAGTGCATAAATCGTTATGAATGTAACGGATCGAGTCCGGCGAAATGAATCGACGGTGGCGCCGATAACGAAACCCAAAAACCGCCCTGCAAGGGTGAATGTTTTCCTAATTGAAATTGTATTGTGATGCAAAGATATCATTTTTAACTCTTTTTAAATCGGTTGAATTTTAGAACACTTTGTTTTGTTTTTTTCAAACATGACTGAGCTCTTTGTGTTATATGTATTTACTACTTAGTAATTAAAATATTTTTTATTTTATTAAAAAGGTGCACTTAAACTCTTTCTCATTAAAATATAGATATTACCAAGGCGGACTTGGTAGTAAACTGCCAAGTACTCTATAACGGCCCCCAACCAGTTTTATTCCGGGCTTTTTATCTATTGATTTTCCAAAGATATATTTTTTTTCTGAATACTTACGTTTTTAGGTAGCTTATCAAATACATAATATAGTTTATTGCGATTACAATAGTTATTATACCATAAACCCAACATGTTGGTTGTTATATTTAGTATATGTTTACGAAAAAAATAAAAACTATATTAACAATTAAGTACCCTAACCCTTGTTATATTGAATAAATAATTCTAAAATCTTTATTACTTACTATGGTTTATACGAACACACTTAAATATACAGATTGTAAACTGGGCAATAATCATATTTAATTACTTAAGAGGAGGCTACACCCGAATGTGCTGTCTCCGTCTTACAAATGCGTACAGCACAGGAAAAACTGTTATGCGTGGGACAACTACTCTCTCTGTATTTATAGTAAAATTACCAAAATTCCACAACTCATGGGGAAGAATTTTATTTGTGTTGAAGTTAAAGGTTTTTGATCGCTCTAAAAGCCACTAACCAATAATTTTTAATAATTATAAGGAAAAAACCTAATGTTTTTAAACTGATAACTTTATTTGTATTTATGTTATCCAAATAATAGAAACGCAGTTACACAGATAAATATTTTCCCAGTGCGTTGTGGAATTTTGGTAATTCTACTATAAATACAGAGGGAGTATAGTTGTCCCGAGCAAAACAGTTTTGTCATGTACATTTGTAAGACAGAGACAACATATGCGGGTGCAGTGAGTCCTCTTAATAAGCACTATTTTCGCTAAATCTAAAGTCCGCACTGGTGCATATTTTTATTACATTACTATTATCATTTATCCACTTATTTTTAATACTTAAATAATGGTAAGAAGTTTAGGAGTATTTTCATTTATTGGGTCACTATAAAAGTTTGTCTTGGGCACTTCTATATAGTGCCTTAAAATTGATCACGAATCAATTAAAACACGAATGATGGACGTATCTTTGATTTATATATAATACATATGCATATTAAAAACTATACTGTTTGATCGTATAATTATGGTATTTAATTTTTCCTAATGGCTCAATATTTGTGGTTTAAAACTGTTCATTATTTATTATTTATTAGTATTTACTATTTAGTAATATCGTCCAAGTCTCAGCGCCCCCGGAACAGTACACTAGCTTACCTGGCAAATGCGCTCCTAATTTAATTTTTACTAATTTTACAATTCTTCACAACTTCAGAGTTCAGGGAATGCTTTATAATATGTTTATGTAAGTGTTAAAATATTCAATATTGTACAGATGTATTATTGCTTAAAATATATTTAATATCTTTCGTCTGAAAATTATTTCTCGTTACACCACTGCATTAACTATTATTACAGTACAAATTCATACGTGTGATTTTAAGTGATTTCTGGTTTGTTCGAAACGAAGCACTACTCCCAGATTTCAAATAACGTAATAATCAAAAATCACGTCAGGGAACTATCAATACGCTTCTTCTGTCATCTATCCAATAACTGACTGAATGACTGTCCTAACAGCCTCGAATTGTTATGTGGTCGTCTCCACGGTGTTTAAAATTAAAGTTAATTATACTTCATTTGTTATTGTAAAAATAAAATTAAAAAATAAATAAAATGATGTGTTTGTAAAAAATTATAAAAATGTTTTTGTATGATTGTAATCTGTTAAATTTTAAAACCTAGTAATCTAACTTTCTACGTATCTTTGAACTGCGTAACCATTGCTTGCTATATCTGATTTACAAACTCTGCAATTGTAATTGATATAGGCATCTTTATAAGTTTAGTTGATTTAAGTCGGGACAACTTTTCAATAATAAATGAAAATATAGAAGTATTAGGTGTATTATTATCACACGACTTGGTGTTCGGCAAAATCACATGGTTTCCGAAAAGCGTCCATTTTTTTTTAATACATAATTTTGTTCATGAGTATTATAGCATGTGTGAAGAACAAATTTGAAATCCGTTTTTCTAACTCTACTCTACGTTTTTGTTCGCAGGTCTGGAAACAGTCACAAGTAGCAGTAACAAAAAGTGACAGGCAACCGTGTCGCGTGTACATACAAAGTGTCGTGTAGATGACGTGCTTGGTGTATCGCGTGAAGTGTCGTATCGATTTTTATAATAATAAATTATAGTGAAATCAAATAAGTGGTGATATCGCGTCGGTGTGAGTGCGGTACGCGTCTCGACGACGACGACGAAAGTGCGCGGCGCGTGTGTAGGCTGCGGGACATGCACCAACGTGGCGACGTTCAAGCGGACGACGAGCAGGCGACCATCGCGGTGTGGAGCGCGTAGCGGCCGAACCGCGGCGGCGAGCAGCACGCCGTGCCGGGCCGCAACAGTCCATGCGTGATAACGCGCGACCTGCACGCGGCTGCAATGATGGACCAGAAATGTGACGTCGGCGGTGGTGGTGTCGCTGCTGCCGCCGCCGGTATCGGTGGCGGCGGTGTCGGCGGCCTCATGTCGTACAACCGTGGCCGTGGCGGCACCGAGGTCATCATCAAACCCCGTAGTCCTGCCGTGGTGCAGGTGGCCACCGGTGGCAGTTACCACGGCCTGCCGGCGGCCTCCGACGCCGTCATCGTGCGCAGCCCGCCAGGCGGCCACTTGCCCGGGCCGCAGCAGCAAGTGCCGCCGTCCCGCAACGGCTGTTCCACCCTGTTTAGCGACATCGCTGGCGTCAAGCGACTCAGGCCCGACGATTGGTTGGCCGTCAACTCGCCGCCCGCCTCTTCGCCCGGCACGTCGCACATATCCTACACAGTCATATCGAACGGCGGCGGCGGTGGCGGCGGTGGCGGCGGTGGTTACAACACGTCTCCAATGTCGACCAACAGCTACGACCCGTACAGTCCGATGAGTGGAAAAATCGGTGAGTGCTTTTATAGCAATTTAAAAAAAAAAATGATTTTAGGTCATACCTATTATAATATTATAATATGTTGAGTAACACGTCTCTTGGGCCATCCAACCCTCCACCCACACACACACACACTAACGCCGCAGCGAGTGTCCGTCTAACGGTGCCAAATTGAAATCGATCGCATTTCACCGCCCCTTGTGGACAAAACCCCCCCACACGTTCTTCTTTAATCGTGTGCATACGTGTGAGGCTATTGTAAAAATACAATTATTACAAACCTATAGATTTGTTTTTATGATTTTATCGTCAAAAAGGATTTTCATATTTCGGTCGAACGCGTTCGTAGCCATAGCGATAAAGTTATTTTAATGTCGTCACAGTTTTTCGACGTGTGGTCTATTAAGTTCGATATGTGTAATAATACAACAAATATTATGTGCGTCCGTATTTACTTGGCCTAGTTAGCAAATCAAACACTCGAAACGTCGCGGCTACCGGTCTATTATTATTACTATTATACGTTTTTATAATTGTAATAATAATATCATATGGTCGGCAAATAACGCGCGAGGAGAAAAACAAACCGAATGACCGCGGTGTACCTACCTGTTTAGAAATGAAAAAAAACGGAAAGCCTTGCAATTATTATTAGGTAGGCGTTCCTGCACATAGCGTCTCGATACGATTTTCGCTTTTTATTGCCGGCGTCAATATTTTCACGAAAATTATTATAGTAATCATTTTTTTATACGCGGCTCGGATATGAATAATAAGAAAAATGAAAAAATGAATTTGTTACTCGTTGAATTGGCTACGCGAGTTATACATGCAACTATAGGCATACGTTTGTTGTATCTCTCCGACTACACTTATATATTACAATTACATTATGTGCACGTACATATTAACGACCTTGGTGGAACTAGGAATATTCACGTCGTCGATTGCGTAATAACCGAACGTTTATGTGTGTAAATGCAGCAAGAAATAATAATTATCTCTAAATTATAATAATAAAAAAACTTATTTAAACGATTACTTAGTGTACGTATATTATATATAATATATTATTATGTGTACTATATATACGCACATACATAATATTGTTGTATTATGGTACACGCTGTATGTACTATTATATAGTATAAGCTATATACATATTATAATATTATTATTATATACGATGTGTACACTCAACGGGATATCAATCACGTAATTGGGTTACGGAAATTTATTCAAAGTTCGACGGTTGACCTCTGCGGACCTCTGAGTGCCAAAATGTTTTTTTTTTATTTTTACTCTTACAAAAGAAAACATTATTTCGTTACAAATGGCAAAAGAAATAAAGTAGTATCGGGAGCCATTATACGTCGTCGTTGTCGTCACCGTTCCCGTCGCCACCGCTGCCGTTTTGTTGACGTGAAGGTGGGGATTATTAATTTTGGGATAGACCTTGTGTGTTTATACACTACACAGTATATATAATGTACATATATCTATACACCACACTCCCGTGGACTGATACGAAAACAAATATGTAGGTCATTGAGCCTCGCGTGTCTGTATATCTCTTTCTTTTCCCCTCCCCGCTGCTGCAGTCTCCCACCGCCCCTCAATAATATATATATATACTTCACTCGCTCTCCGAGCCAACGGTACAATATATATTTTTTAGTTGTGGTCTTTCATTTTTTCTCGAAAATAAAAATCATAAACATAATATTAGAAACCGGCTGTGTGTGTTCGAGACAGAAAATAAAAACCTCCTAAAACAATCCTAACAACACGGGTAAAAATAAAAAAATAAAAAATAATGAGTTACATCAAACCCAGAAAGGGGAATATATTACATTATTATACAGCGAGTTCGTCGCCTGCTGGTGTATTTTCTTTTATTCTCTCGCATCCCATCATCATCAGATAATGATAATAATAATAATAATACTAAAGCATATTTCGAACGTAAAAAATACCTAACGGTACCTACAATAACGACTATGTACTCTGTAGTTTTCTTCTTCGCATCCGTTGCGGTGTGTGCTCGTCGGAGAACAATATCGCCCTTGGGTAGCTTAACCTTGGGCGGCCGCGGAACGGTGGTACATTAATATAATATAATAATGTTATATACGAGGGAGAAAGAGAGGAGGCCTTTCTCTTTGTCCATACATAGTAAAAGAACGTTTCATGTAGACCGTCCGCTGTGACAATCACCATAGTATGCGTTATAAGGTATAACGGATCACTGCATCGAACTTTTTATCAATTTTTAATTATTTAACATACCGCGGTGTGCCCGATGAGTGTAACATACGCGCCGTCGTCGTCGAGGTGATTGGCTCGTTATTACATACATTATTATTACTATTAATACTATGTTAATCTGTATATAATGGTTTACGCTCGTTTTTTTTATCCACGACAATAACTCCTTGACCTTGCAAACTACGGCGGAGGGTTAAAACACTCGACTGATAGTAATATGTAGGCCAAACTTTAACGAGGAATAGAATTTTTCGAGGTGTCCATGATAATGTAATCTCGGGCGTACTATATATTATTGTACAATATAGGTACCTACTGCATAGTATGGTACTATCTACTATACAAACGAATACACATGACTTTGTATAATATTTCTTTCGAAATACATCGAAAATTGTTACACATTTTAGTAGTGTAATGACATGCAGTATAGGTAACGTTTCTATTTTATTAATTGTGGTTAGCTAGTTATACGTAGCGTTGTAGTGATGTACAACATGGTGACTGTTCGGCTGCAATTTATAGTGTGCTGTATAGTTTTGTTCTCCCGTTAAAATTGAATCAATTAAATCAATTAAGTCGATTGGTTTACGTTAAACTAAAAATCGTGTCTATATAAAAATCGCATCCAAGTGTATACACATCTAATTGAGCGTGTTTTTGAAAGTTAATGATAAAAAAGTTGATTTATCTTTAATTGAACGCACGTTCGTCTGCGAGAGAGAACAACTCAAATGCGGGTTGATGTGGTCTGTTTTTTATATTGTGTTTGTTATGTATACGCTACCCGTATGTGCATGACACATTAATTGGTTGAATTTGTACAGCTTATAACGTTGTGTGTTATAATATATTATGCCTCTCACACACGAGCGTCGTTGTATTAAAATTCATAATAATATTATTTTTCAATTCTTTTCGGCGTCCTAACCCCCCCCCCCCCCCCCGACTTATGCGTGTGTGTTGGCACATACCAGTGTAGGCGTCTATTCGTTCAAAGGGTTGTGCGAGTCAAGGACTTTCTATCGCGAACAGTCTGATCGTGACACGACAATAATATTATTGTTGTTGTTGCGTTGTTTAGTGATAATTATTTATCATTATAAAGGGAAATTGACGAGGATTTCATGAATCGAAAGAACGCGCGGTGAATGGACCGAAACGAAACGCCGACGACGATAATAATCGGACCAAGGTCGTCGGACGATGTATTTTCTCTGCGGGTCGATGATTTCAGGAAACGCTCGTTGTCTAAAGGGATCGTGGCAATCGGTTTTACGAGTTTCGTGTCTCTCAGTAATGTACCTCAAAGGTACATTTTTTATCGTGCACGCATTACCTAATACGTAACGGAGCATCGTAACGCAGGAGGTCGGTAGTAGATAAATCATTTTTTTCCTACGACGGTGACGAATATTATGCACGGCTGTTCTGTATTGTCACCCGGTAATGAACCGTGTGTGCTCGGTCGCGGGATCGAAAGAAAAAAAAATAAACGTTTACCACATACAACGACGACTGAGATGAACGAACGACGGTGCGTACGGGTTAGATAACTGCAGTGGCCGACGGACGTGACTACTTTTATTCGAGTAGGTATACAAAATGGTGAAACATCGTCGGTTTTGGGATATTATTATACACCGCGAGCCGGTATACCGCATATGTGGGTCATTCGCAGTTTAATATATTATATTATTATTATTATTATTATAGAAAGGGAACCGACATTTGACCTACACCCCGGAGCCGGTTAACCAGTCGGATTTTTCGTCGTCGTCGTCGTCGTCTATGCGACTGAATTTTTTCTCTTAGTCATCACAATATAGTATTATATTTGCTGGAAATAATCAAAGTGAAATCTCTGTATTTTTTTTTTTTTTTTCATCCGTTCGTCAACGAAGTTTATTTAATATTGTCGTTACTATTGTCATTACTACCGATATCCGGTCCGCTGCAACAGCCCACCGACTTTTTTTTGTTCACGAGTAAAACCGTACCGGCTTCTGTGTACCATATGTAATATACATCATCACGGGAGTTGTGTTCATTTATGTTTATACTTGGGTCGTTCCCAGCGATCGAACTGGACTTGTCTTATGTTAATAGTAATATTATATAATGGTCGGGAACTCAATATAATAACCTATTGCCTGGCGAAATTCTACATCCACCACCACCAATTTTCTTCTGGATAAAATATAGTCTTAAACGCGATCGAATAACCAATATTATTCACTCACCATACTAACCTACCGACTTTTGCATATTTAAACGGCTCGTTCGACTATACCTATCTGTCGGCTGTTGTAAATAAATAAGTCTAATACCATATCACAATAATATTATACAAAAGCGTTTTGCTTCGCTGCACGCACACATATTTTCATATTATACATGATATTATATACGTATATAGGTCCGTCTATTATAGAGCGGGTCCGGCGTTTTCTAAAATTAAAATTTCTACGACCCGACTAAAAATACACACACACACGTCGTACGCGTACGTGCCGAGCGGGCGGTAGGTTCCAGTCTACCGGTACTATCGTGTTATGGTGTTGTGGCGTGGGGAAATGCTATCAGGAGGGGGAGAGATGGATCTTTCACTTTTCGAATGGGGACACGGCGGCACTGAAACCAACAGTCGCCGCCGCGGTGGCGTGAACAGCGTTTTTAATACTTTCACTATATATAATAATGTAAAATAATATAATATACGAGTTCCAATAATGTCGCTAGTC